CGCCGGGAGAGGCCAGAGACCTGGAGAGACCAGGCCGGGGGGAGCCTGCTCCCGGCTTTCCCTTGGCGAATCCCACCCCCGACCAAAGCGGAGGGGCTTTCCAGCAGCGCCTGGGAAAGGGCTGGGAGCAAAGACAAAGTTTCAGAGGGAAGCCAAGCTCTGAAATCCAGCCCCGCTGGTTTTCCAGCTCGCGCCCTCGTCCTCTGCGCGGGGCCCTTCGCCTAGCCCCTTCTCCCACTTCCCACAAGTGCCCCCGGTGCACAGCTTGGGAAACGTGAATCCGTCACCCGCTTTCCTCGCTCCGAAATGCCCTCGCCTTCCAGCGTGTGAACGGGAAGAGAAGCTAGGAAATTCGGGGGCGACTGGCAAACACGAGAACCGGCGGGCTTGTAACAAAGCTTCCCCGCATTTATTCGACTGGGGATAAAAATCCCCCTTCCCTACAACTTGTTCGCTCCTGCCGCTTCGGTTTGCACCAAGTACCCAACGCTGAACCCGCATCGGCGCCATGCGGACAGCGAAGTTCTATGTGAAAATGTCACCATCTCGCCTATTCGGCGCACGTTTGACAGAGGTGTGTACGCGCCCCGGATACGCATGTTATAGACCTTCTTAAAGTGCCGAACAGGACGCTCTCTACCTGCCCCCGGGCGAGCACACCTTCCCCTCCACTATTGTTGTTGACCAGTTGTCAGTGCAGCGGTGTGTATTAGAGGCACACAGACAGACCCACAAGGACACGCGCGCGCTTCCGAACAAACTGAAAAGTAGCTGCAAAGTTTGCTAGGGAAACGCCGGCCAAACCCAACGGCTCTGCCTGTGCCTCGTCGGACGGCCTGGCTTCCTCCCGCCGCAGATCGGCCACAATTAGAAGGGGGAAACCTTTGCTCCGGGGGAAACGTGCCCAGAGGCGGAGGTACCCGCAGCGCGCCCAGAGGTCACGCCGGGTGCCTTGCAGCCTCCCCGGCTCCGGGTCCTGGTTTAAGCACAAAAGCCGGCGCCAGCCCGCTGCTCTGGCCGCCTTCTAGGCGAGCGCAGACGCTCAGCTCCATGGACTTACCTTTCCGCGAGAGGAGCCGCCTGTGGCTGGCCGAGGTGGAGTCCCCCCGCCCCCCAGCCACCCAGCCGCACCCTCCGCTCTCC